GCCTATCTTTCCTTTTTCACAATCGATTTTTGATGTTTCTAGCTCGCTCAAAAATTCTCTCAATTCTTGGAAGTTTCTGATGCATAGTCCTTCGAGATATGGTTCTTCAGCATTAGAACTTTCTTCTTTGTCTATTTGAATGGATAGAAAAAAATGAAAGCGATTATTTCTCTTATGTCAAATCATACTTGTAGGAGACCTAAATTTCACTCTACGATCATAGGCGAAACGCCTCTATTGCGGGCACAAACCCGCTGTGTTTCGCTAGATTTTTTTCTTTCTAAATATACTGATGTACACCTTAATTCTTCTCGGGTGATGAAAAGAATACTGGGCCAGAGTCCTGTTCATGTTGTAACGCCAACGAATTTCCTTTGAATAACGCCGATCGTCAATAATTCGAAGACCTGGCGCCTAGTGAGAGTCTCTCAGGAAATAATCCTTCTTTGATGTAAAGCCAGCTGGAGAAGCAGTTTAATGGGAGATGCTACTAATCAGGAGCACCTATTTTCCTACCATTGCAATAAACTCAACTGTCAACCATCTAGATGTCGAACAAGTCAGAAAACATTTCAGGGTTTATTTGAATTTACAACATGAAAGCAGCGCTGGTCACAACTGACACAGGAGAGTTTCCTTCTGTTGTGTTCAGAATTGCAAGCACTTTCGGTCACTATAGCTGGTGAGATTTCTGGCGTCACGGTGTGATCAAATGGCTTTAAAAGAGGCTGTGCGCAGTTTTTAAACTTAAACTTTATGATTTTGAAAACTTTTTCCCATGGCTTCATGCTCCTTTCGTACTGCCTTCTCTATTATTCCCAGTTGCTGTTGGGGAGATTACTAGTGGATCAGGGTCATAGTGGATGCAGACCATTCGCAATGTTTTTGGTAATTCTGACTTCCTAACCGTTTTCGTTCGAGTGCCTCTAGATTTAGACTGCCTTCAAGTTGAATTATTTAAAGGGGGAATGACTTTGCAAGCGCCAAATCATTAATCTATCGACATTTTCTGGATAAGAAACTTTTGAAGAAAGAGACAGCCTTTAGAGTCACGTAGCAGGAAACCAGAATCTGAAAGGCTAGGTTTTAGGTTTTCCTATTTCATGTTAAACTTGAATGTGTTCACTGGTAAATTTTTGCCAGAGTATTTCTTCTACCAATGGAAATGGATTGGAATGTCAATCCAAAATATCCACTTTTCCTCAATGGCCATTAATCAGATTTATGTTTACCTCCAGAGCTGAGTTTTTGTTTGTTCTCTCGCTTTGCACCGTTTTGCCGCACTACTTTGAGTTCATTCCTCAGCTCCTTATTTTCTGCCATCAAGGAACACATTACTTTAGAGCTGAAAGTGGTACAGTGGATCTAAGACGATCCAGGACTCACCAGAAGTTAAAATTTGACAGCAAATTTTCTTTGCTATCTAAGGGTGGACTGTCAACTGTAAACTAACCAAAATGTAAGGTTTTACTACAACAGTTTATTCTGATGATTAACACTTTTTATCTCGCGGAAGAAAAGAGTGTTTAGACGGTGAAACGTTAGGGGAAACAAAACTCGCACTATTGGGAGACTTGTGTCTCAATAAGGTAAGAGAAAAAAAAAAAAACAAAGGGCTTCTAGCGGTCGATTGCAGTGAATCATAGTAGCACTGACTTAGGATAGGAAAGGCGTTCAAGTTTCACGTCACACAACATTACCTAAGGTGTGCAACTGGAGATTTACGCAATTTGGTAACGCAACATTACCTGCTTGCTGCCAAAAGTTTATTTGCAAGATACGAATGCCCCCCTGTGTTGGTAAGTGCTTTCTTAAACACTTCATAGGCTTTGAAACCTCTTTTGGGTAGTATTTCCAACATGATCACCGGATCGCTCCCATCTTACTTTGTTTTCATTCCCTTTGGTGTCCTCCTCGTCCTTGGGGTAAAGGCATTTGATGCGGCCATTTTTACCATTATTTGATTTGGATCCATGTCAGTAACCAGCGCTTCCTTTACATTCTTAAGTATCTTTATATATTCCTTATCTAATGGTTTACCAGCTGCTTCTCCATTCTTTGTTCCGTAAATTTCAGTAGGTTGCCATTATTTCGAGTCTTTTTGGAAGATTGAATTCTCTTCGAGAGTAATCCGTTTAGTCACGATGATCACCACAGCCAAAAGCTTCCGTATCTCCGCTTCGTATATGCTCTATGCTCCTTCCATGCTATTTTCATCTTCCGCGTATGATATTTGTACGTGAGTTTTATTAGAGTAATCCTCAGGTTTGCTATAGATAGGCAAGATGCTCATACCAATCTAGATTACAGGGTCAACTTATTTTTAGTGGCACCGATCAAACGTGATTCTTGTAAAGTAGACTTGAAAACTTCTCTAGTAAAAATAAGCAAAATATGTTTCAGTCCTGCTCCAGTTTTCAGGATCTCGTCAATCACGTTTACAATGCCTGAGATGCAGATGGGATGAGAGACTGTCGGCGCTATTTCCGACGAAGAGTTGGAAAAACGTGACCAAGTCGGAAAGCTATGATATTCGATTTGATCCTTCAGTTTTGCCGGAAATTGGTTCGACAGCACGTTTACCATCTCACTATTGTTAAAAACGTAACCACGTAGATAGGTCAACATATCAAGGATAGAACAACTTGCCTTGAAATTGAGTTGGAAGTTACATCATTCGTCTTCAGTCTTATCTTAACTTGGTTCGCAGCTAATAATTAATCTGATCAAAATTATAAACTGAGCTGTGAATACATATCAATTCCGAGAATTAAAATGATCAATAACAAAAATTACAGGTTTAATTTGGTAAGTTCTGTGTTGAGAGCAATAATATAGTTTAAAGATTTTCATATGACGTGAGGACAAAAGTAAACAGAGAGCCAATGCGAGATGTATAACCCACAAAGTCTAGTTTGTTCAGCAAAAATATATTGATATCTTTTTTCAAGAAGCCACAGCATTACACGGCTGAAATAAATTCAGCATTCGCACGAAAACATTGATGGACAATTTTTTAGCTAAGATTAGTACAGTTGCTCAAATTTTCGCTTTAATGTTTTAGACATTATTACTTTAATGTCAGTCAAAGGTCTGTGATATTGGACTGCTCAAATAAAACGCAACTATGAGCCACCTTTCAATTTTTCTTTACGACCAAACATTAGAAAAATGAATTGCATATCGCAACATTGCCTTCCCTTGCCCCATTCAAAATGTTATACAGGCACAGGCAACAATCTGCAACACTCCACAGAGGTGAGGGGGTGAAAATAAGGATATTAGGGACAAATTGAAATGCTTTGCCAGTACATTGCGATCTCAGTCAAAATGGGTCACCACTTTTGTCGCTTCTTGTGTTTTTTACCACTCATTTTAATTAAGTTTATGGTCCTATCTGAAAAAATCTCTCCCAGAGGTTAGTTTTTAACTGAAGCAACAATCAACAAGGGAGGAAGTGGATGAAAAATCACCATTTATGCGGAAACTGTTCATCTAATTAGAGTAAGTGTACAGTTCACGTACAGATATCAAAAATAACAATCCGCGGAGGTTAAAGGGAAAGAAGATATCCATAGCACGGAAGGAGCATAAAGAAGATAAAATGGAGACACAGTAACACAGCCATAGCAGCTTCTGATCATGCTGATCAACGAAACTAAACGAATTCTCTCGAAATGACTTGAACGCTTAAAGAATAAAGACTGGAGAAGCAGCTGATAAACCGTTAGACAAGGAGTATGTAAAGGCCGTACTTAACAACATAAACAATGAGCTGGCAGCTGAAATGGATCGAGATCAAAAATCGGTGAAAATGGTAGCATCAAATGTCTTCAGCCTCAAGGAGGATGAGGAAAGGACATCAAAGGGTATGAAGCCAAAACAAGATGGGAAGGATAGTTACCATGTTGGAAATACTTCGCAGAAGGGGTTTCAAAGCCTATGAAGCGTTCAAGGAAGTCCTCGTCAGCACAGATGGGCATTCGCACCTTGCGAATATACTTCTGGCGGTAGGTGGGTAATGTTGTGTAATGAAATTTCATGCTTTACCTAGCCGGAATTAGTCTTGTGTTTTATTGTAATCGACTGTTGAAAGCTCTTTCATTAACTGCCTTGAAGCATTCAGACACAATCTGTCCCAGTTTCTTATCCGCCATAATTTCGTCTTAAAATACTTAAATGACCTCGTAAGTTAAAGAACTTCTTCCGAAACGGTGCAGATCCTGTTCCCCCTAACGAGTAATCGTGTCCACAGTCCTATTTTCTTTAGGTTAAAAATGAGTAAATCATTAGCATATACTGCTTTGATACAAAGTTACAAATTTACTTAGTAGTAATGTTTAGTAAACATTTCATTCTATTTGTTAAAATACTGTAACTGCCAGTGCACCACCATCAATTCTTAAGTAATGTGTTTTTTCTATGGTGAAAAATAAGGACTGAGCTCAAAAATGAACTTGAAGTAGAACGGCGAAACAGTTCAGGGGATAGAGCAGAGGCATGGAGTAGACAACAACGCAACTCACGGGGTAGATATGAATTTAATCAATGACTGTTGATGTTTAATGGTTACAAAATTTATTTAATTTTCTCCGTGTAGATTGCTATTCCAATCAATTTTCATCGGTTAAAAAATACCTTGGTGAAAATGTACCAGTTCATATCAGATCTAAGTTTAACAGCGTTTACATCCACAGTCTTTTCGTGATCATCATGTATAGAATAGACTTATTTGTTTTGGTTAGATTAAGACTGAAACATTCCAGATGTGAATAGGAATGAGTAAAGTTCAAATTAAAACAATTTTAAAATACCCTTTCTCGGCATCCAAACAACAGCCAAAGCAATAAACCTTTCCAGTTTCAAGTTGGCGGCGACATGTTTACGTCACTCAAAAAACTTTCGAATATACCGGGAAGAATATAAAACTATTTGAAAAACAGTTTTCTAATCTTGTGTGAAGCTAGAAATTAGCCCTTTGAGATGCTGGGTTCCTGAAGGCTACGTAATCATGGCACAGGATGATAATGGTGTCCGTTTTGGACTCAAAAGGCTGTCTTTCTAAGTTTTAGTTAATTTTGACCATGGCATACATGTCTTAGTAACCTTACGTATGAGGTGCCCTTGATCAGGCAATTTTTAAAGTACATTCCATTTTTTAAAATGTTTACAGAGTGCGTAATAGGAAAACGAAGCTACTCGCAAACGTATCAACATCAGTAAGGTTAATATTGAAAAATGTATATAGCGTCTCATTACAGCCATTCAGTGAATAGTTTGTCGAGGCGCTTTTCATAGCGCTCATTAAGAACTTGCTATTAATTCAGTTTTTTCTATAGGAGAGGGCAAAGAAGAAAATGTAGGAGATGAAGGCAGACAGTCCAGAATTTTGCCTGTCGCATCCTTTGTCATCTTACAGTGAGATATAAAAGATTTTGCATCTCGGATCTGTGCAAGAACTACATTTAACAGTTATTATCATTTAGTTAACATCGTTGGGTAGTCTTGAACTCGTTAAAAAGCTGTTATAAATAAAGATCGCACTGGCAAAAATGATTATTTCATTACAGAGTGCGCCAAGGAATTCAAGAGAACGAGGAATGATTCACTCTGAAGTAAGTAAGTATCAACTTAAGCAAAGTTTTTCCTAGAGTATCATAGCTGTAAAATGATTGTAGTTAAAGATTTGTGTTTAGAATCAAGTTTGCTGATACGAAGACCGAAAACGTTTGCTCCCACGTGTAGTCGTAATCGTTTCAGTGTGCGGTACACTGCTTCATATTTGAACGCACTAATTGTTTTTTTTAATTCAAATAAGATGAAATGATTTAATGATATTGTTATGTTGGCTATAAAACTATTATGATTGTCATTTCTTCTAATTTATGGAAGATCTTTTGGAATAAGCTTACTATTTTTTACGTTTCAATCATTCAAAGATAGTTTCTGCTGTCACAGATTGTAGCTGGGTGTTTCTTTTCCTCAAGCTGAATAAACGAGGCTGATTGATTGGGCCACGCACGATTTCAAACTTCAGCAGTTTACCTGAAATGATACATAACAAAAAAACATTTGGGGTGTCCTTTTAAAAGAAATTTGTACGCAACAGTAACGAATCATTACTTCATGTGCGGTTCTCACAGGAGAAGAAACGTGTAATTTTTATTCATGAAATCGTATCAAAGGACACTGAAAAGTGAATATCTCACGCAGTAAACGGTGAGCTGTTCGTAAACATTTTTCCTGCGCGTTGAAAAATATTTGAAGGATAATAAACGTAACAGAGGTCTTTTTTGCACCCTCTTTGCAAATATATGAGTACAAAATGCGTACAAACTGTAGCAACCGACGTAAAAATTACAATTATAACTGCCAGGAAATTTCGACATGAACAGTTTACAAGCTGACGACTGCGACATACTTCTTGATCGCGTAGACAGGGGTAGAAATGAGAAGAAAGCCGTTAAGTTGGATTTTCAGGCCATCGGTGGAGACGAAGGTGTAAGTAACTTCTTAGATTTTGTGGCTGTTGCGATAATGATTCCATATATTTCCGATATATTTTGCTTGGTAGCTTTTCGGCTCTATCATGTCGTCTGTTGTGTCGTGTGTTAATTTTTTATGAATGTAGCACGATCATTGACAGCAATGTAGAATGCTATTGAAAATGCTATATATTTGGGAAAGCTATACAGTGAAATAATCTCTGTACGCATAGGCGTCCCAAGTTCATGTATCGAGCAAAAGGGAAGGCTTATTTTATGAAAGCGTCACGCGTTGTGTGACGCAGTGTTAAGTTACGCGAGGAACCGTTGAGAATTTGAATGCGTTATAAGGAATAGTATGGGGAACAAAATATGGTCCATTTAAAACACTAAATATTCCGCAATATGAATATTTTATTAGATTAACAAGAATTACTCATTCCATGTGTGTCTGTTGTGTTTTTTGGCGATTTCTGCTGTTTTGGGCTTGCTTTGCCATCTCTGTTTTTCCTGTTATCAGAAATCGCCAAAAAACACGACGGACTCACAGGGAATGAATAAGTTTTAAAGGTCGGCACACACGAGGGGACAAGTCCTTGCGACTAGTCCGTGCGACTAGTCCCGGCGACAAGTCTTTGAAGGGTTTACAAGTGGGGACCGGTAGCAGGGACTAGTCCCTTAAGGTGTTCATACGAGGGCACTCAATTGCACAAGAACATAGGAAAATTAAGAGGCAAAAGATGTTTCTTAGTCTGGGGCGTTACACGAAAACAATTAAAATTTGGTAACTTTTCATTGTAGCACTATTAAACATCAGCGCAAACGAACTACACTTATTCAGTCGGATTATTCATGCTTTTACGTGTTCCGTTTTTTTTTTTATTATTATTATTTTTAACAGACACAGAGTCAAATAGGGTAAAAATTCCATCAAAACGGCTCCAAGACATCTGTATATGTTTACAAAACTAGAAATAGTTTTTTATTCTTCAGTTGTAGAAATCTAGAAGTCAGGGAAAATTCATAGAAACTGCAATGTTTACAAATACCGGAAGTCACGCATCATACTGACCCGTGATTGGCTTATTTACCGTTTAGTCGCAGGGACTGGTCGCACAAACAGTTCACACGAAGGGACAAACATTTGTTTCATGCGACAAGTCCCTGCGACTGGTCGCACGAATTCAAACCAGTTTGAATTCGTGCGACCAGTCGCAGGGACCAAATTTTGGTCCCTGCGACCACAGAAATGTGTAGTTCACACGAAGGGACTAGTCGCATGAAACTGGTCGGTGGGACTAGTCGCAGGGACTAGTCCCCTCGTGTGTGCCGACCTTTAGTATTAATCTAGCATGTAAAGTGTTCATATTTCGGACTATTTAGCGTTTCAAATGGACCATATTTTGTTCCTCGTACCATTCCTTATGACGCATTCAAATTCTTAACGGTTGCTCGCGGAACTTAAGCCTGGATCACATATATGATCGCAGACGATCGCAGGCGATCGCACTCGATCGCCAGCGTTCGTCTGTGATTACATGTGAACAGCTCTGCGATCGCGTGCGATCGCGATCGCAGGCGATCGCAGTTCTATTCGTGCGATCAGTTGCGATCTTCTGCGATCGAGTGCTATCATATGTTGTAAAAAAGGGGGTTGACAGGCCTACACGACTCCCCAGCGCGTGTTTAGAGTAGCCTATTCAAAGTTTGCCCTTCATGAGTATGTCCTTGAGCGATGGCTCTCTTTTGTAAGATATGAGCGGCGGGTTTTTGTATAGTTCGCTCAGCACTGGTTGTGTTTCTATTAAATGCCAGGGCCTCATGAGAATTTGCTTTAGGTTTGTTACTGATGGTTGGTATTGTGTAAGAAAAGGCAAGATTCGTTGGGTTGTCTTCGGTTTTTGTTGCAGAGCTAGTTTCCTGTTTTCGAAATTCACCTCTGAGAGGGTTCTGTTAATGAGGTCCTCTGGGTAGCTTCTCTTTAGCAAGTGCGCTTTGAAATTTGCAATTTTCTCCTCGAATATTGTTTGAGAGGAGTTTGTTCTGAGAAGTCTAAGGGCCTCTTCTTTTATGAAGCCTTTCTTAACTCCTTGTGGGTGACAGGAACTATAGTGTGTATACTGAAATGTTTTAATTTGTTTAAAATGAGAACGCACATCAAGGATTGCGTCCTTTTCGAATCGTTCGCCTTTGTAGATATAGGTGTCCAGGAATGTTGTTTCCTTATCGGAAATTTCAGCCGTAAATTTTATTGTTGGATGATGTTTGTTTGCTTTTTCAACGAAACGCTCTATTTGTTGCTTTGTTTGTACTCCATAGCAAGATGTGGTCTATGTAACGTTTCCAAACAAGCGGTTTTAAAAGGCTTTTGTCAAGGACTTCTGTCTCTACCTTGTTCATGAAAATATTAGAAAAGGCGACTGCCATTTTCGTGCCCATGGCCGTACCATGTGTTTGAAGGTACTGCTTTCCATTAAAATGGAAGGAATTTTCCTTGATAAGCCTAAGCCTCTAGCAGTTGTGTAGGGATAAGAGTTCCGTTTCTGTAGAATATTTCGTACGCTTTGCATAGTATCTATTCCCTCCTCTTGTGGTATATTCGTATATAAGCTCGTAACGTCCATTGAAACAAGTTTCACGTTCTCCGAGACTTTCGTATTTTCTATCAAATTGACGATGTCTGTAATATCCTTAAGATGCGATTTTTTTTTTTTAGTGCTATAGGCTGAAGGAGTTTGTCGACAAATGATGATAGTTTCTCTGTAGGCCATCATACCCTGACACTATCGGTCTACCGACCGGTGAAGATTTGTATATTTTTGTAAGGGTGTAGAATTCTGGAATTCGAGGCGGATTTGGGGTTTGACAAAGCCGTTTTTTAGTCATGTCGTCAATGATTACCGTTGTAGAGGTTTTCAATAAGTTTTCTGAACTTATGGTCGGTCTCTTTGACCATGGGTGATGCAAGAGGCCTGTAGTTATCTTTGTTATCTAGTAGAGTTTGGCCTTCTAAAATTTTGTCACGTTTGTTCATGACTACGGTTGTTGTTCCTTTGTCGGCCCTTTTTAGGTTTAACTCAGAGTCACGTTTCACGGCCCTCAGCGCCTTGCATTCGGCCGGAAGCAAATTATCTTTTGGCTTTGTAATTTCTATTTCTCAAAGGTCACTTTTTAACCCCTTCTAAATAGTTTTCAAGGGCTACGGATTTTTGTATTAGTGGGTATCCATGTGGATTTGACGTGGTAGGGATGGGTTTTTTTTCCTCCCCTTGGAATATGTAAATCAGACGCATTTTCCTTCCGAACTGATCAAAGTCACGCAATAGTTGTAGTTTGATCTGTTTTTGTTTTGTCACGGGTGTTGGAATGAATTTAAGCCCTTTTGCCAGTAAATTAATCTGATCGTTTGTAAGTTCTTTATTTGAGAGGTTTTTTATGTGAGTTTTGTTCGCCTCTATTTTGATATTTGAACGTGTTTGGCGTCTGACTTTTCTGCGCTCCATGCGCTTGTTAGTTGCTAGCCGTTTGGCTTTTGAAATTCGTTTTTTGGCCCCATGTTTGTATTGGGAGTCAGAGAATACACGTGTGTACTTTTCAAATTCTTTATTCGCCATTGTTCCAAGTTTTTTCATCATATTGCCGAACTGAGCGATTTGTTCCTGGGGATTATTAGCAATTTTTTTTACTGTATCGATCGTTACATTGTCTTGATTGCTTTCAGCTTGCGCTACGCGCGCTGATTCGATCTTACTGCAGTTCTTAGTGTTGAGTGTTCCAGCCGTTTTGGCTCGTTTTCTTTCCTGTATTTCGGCCTTTAAACGACCGATTTCGCGTTCATGGAAGCACATGATCGCCTTCACTGTTTCTTGCTCCGCGTTGTTATGGATTTGCTTTATTTCTTTTTTGAAATCCTCGTCCGCTCTTATTTTAGGGATTCTGGGCAAGTTTCTTTTTCTTTGTGCCTTTGCAGCGCCTTGATCGCGTTTTCGGCCTGGCTGATCTTGTCCTCCGCCTACCTCGATATGAAAGGAGAACCGCCACTAGGGAGCACTGACGAGGGAGGAGTTATTTGTCGTGGAAGAACTTATACAACTGTCACTTGCAAGCGGGAAGGAACTGAATACTTCCTCTCTGCTGATTCACTACAATCGTCTTCAATCTATCAGTTGCACCCTAGAGCCTAAGCCGTTACTGCTCAGAATAAATTCAAATGAACAAATCAAGCGAGCCATTGCAGCTCACAGTCACGACGCAGCCATTATGGCGGTCTTACTCAAAAGACAAAGTGAACCATGTTCCTCAAAGAAGTGAAGAGCATGAAAGGTGCTCTAGTCCTCTGTACTCACTTTTCCTCTGGTCTTCTGTACCCACTGTTTCTCTGGTCCTCTGTACTCACTTTTCCTCTGGTCTTCTGTACCCACTGTTCCTCTGGTCCTCTGAACCCACTAGTCCTCTGTTCCTCTGTTCCTCCGATCCTCTGTTCTTCTATTCCCACTGTTCCTCTGGTCCTCTGTGCCCACTGTTGCTCTGTTCCCACTGTTTCTCTGGTCCTCTGTACCCATTGGTCCTCGGTACCCACTGTTCCTCTGGTCCTCTGTGCCCACTGATCCTCTCTACACTGTTCCCCTGGTCCTCTGTGCCCACTGTTCCTCTGTTCCCACTGTTCCTCTGGTCCTCTGTGCCCACTGGTCCTCTGTTCTCACTGTTCCTCTGGTCCTCTGTGCCCACTGATCCTCTCTACCCACTGTTCCTCTGGTCCTCTGTGCCCTCTGTGCCCACTGTTCCTCTGTTCCCACTGTTCCTCTGATCCCCTGTGCCCACTGGTCCTCTCTACCCACTGTTCCTCTGGTCCTCTGTGCCCACTGTTCCTCTGTTCCCACTGTTCCTCTGGTCCTCTGTACCCTCTGGTCCTCTGTGCCCACTTTTCCTCTGGTCTCATTGTTCCTCTGGTCCTCTGTTCCCACTGGTCCTCTGTACCCACTGTTGCCCTGGTCCTTTGTACCCACTGTTCCACCGGTCCTCAAAGCCCAATGTGCCCACTGTTCCACTAGTCCTCTGTGCCCACTGTTCTCTGTACCCACTGTTTCACTGGTCCTCTGTGCCCACTGTACCCACTGTTCCATTGGTCCTCTGTGCCCACTGTTCCTCTGGTCTTCTGTACCTACTGTTCCATTTGTCCTTTACACCCACTGTTCTACTGTTCCACTGTTCCACTGTTCCACTGTTCTACTGTTCCACTGTTCCACTGTTCTACTGTTCCACTGTTCTACTGTTCCACTGTTCCACTGTTCTACTGTTCCTACTGTTCCTCTGGTCTTCAGTATTCACTGGTCCACTTTGCCCACCGTTCCTCTGGTCTGCTGACCTCACTGTTCACTGAGCCTCTGTACCCATTCACTTTACCCTTCTGGTACATCTATCTGTTAATTATTAGTTATTTCAGAACCCGGTATATGAGAGACCAGCCTAAAGTTCTGTGATCATGCGATAGGAATGTGTCCAGTAATGCTTTGCAAGCAGCATGATACCGTGACAACCAGTTGTTTATCAACTTTTACACGTGCGTGTGTTTTGACAAGATGGAAGGTGAAATTGACACGGAACAGTTTATGTAAGAAATTAGAAATTATGATTGTTTGTTCAATCGCTTTAGCAAAGAATTTTCTCCTTCTTAAGACTTTCTGCATCAAGAAGCGACGTTTCTTCTTTTATCTGGCAGCAATTCTCCGTTTAAGTAAAGACAACGGAAGCAGAATGTTAACACTTATCAAAAGTTCAGCGTCCTTTGCGTTTATGTTGGTTGACTGGAATTACATTGCATTGCCGCTGAGTAGTAAACCATGGACTCGGTTGTCACAGATCTCTGCGACCGGCTGCGATCATATGTTATCATGCGATTCGGGATCTTCGGTTGGGTGGTTTCAGCGATCGCCTGCGATCGTCTGCGATCCTTCGCTTTGGATCGAGACGTGAGCTTGGGACTGTACGTGACCGCTTGCGCACACGTAGAGAAATGCTTGTATATGCAGTTTTCAGATTTCTTGGAACATAAACTACTTCCGTTTCTGATGAATTTGAAGGATGGACGTGATGAAAATAATACCAAAAATTTAATAAAAGCTTAAAGCGAGCCAATTCTTGACTAAAGGTACCAGTTTAGCTGTGCGTGTTAGAAGGGAATTCGCAAGCAGCCTGGCTGAATTGCGTGATCTAAGGCAGTCAATATCCACCCACTGGCCTTCGAGTATTCACGGGCACAAAGGATATTTTAGCAACTGGAAAAGCGTTTTCGAAAAACAATTGTTCGTAGGTAAGTGCATAATATTTTAATCGTCCGCCGAATAACTTTATTGAGTTACTCGTCGAGACACTTACCTCCGAGGCTGCTCCTGAGAAGCCGACGACTGACAGTTTAATTCAAAGGTTCTAACGGCTTTGTCTCAACAGAGGGTGTATTCGCTACCGTTAATTCTGTTGTCAGTATTCTAAAGTGCTCGTTTCAACAGATAATCATTCTAATGTGTATGATTTGTACATCAGTGTTCACTTCAAGACCTTTAATAGACAGCGGAACCAATCGAGAACAGAGTAAATCACTCCACTAAAGGCGTCTTTGTAACGTCAGCTTCGGTAATCGTTTTTATCATTTGTTTATGCCACACCCACATCGAAAAACATAACTAGTGCAGAGAGACTTTAAAGTTTCGTCTTCCGTATCCCAATTCTTAACACATAACCATGTAAGTCAGCTCTGTTTTTAAGTGCGAAAATATAGTTGGAAGGTTATAACTTGACCTGATGACAAAAGCGCATAGAAAATCTAAGCTGTACCACCCCGTTGATGCTAATTACATGTAATTAAGAGGATAAAACATGCGAAACCATATGTATCTTTTTTAATCTACCATTGCAATACTTTACGTGCAATCAAAATGAGGAGACGTTTACGCGACCAGGATGTTTTGCGACAAGAAACTCATCGGGGGTCATTTGTTGACACTTTTTAATTGGCTATTTACACTTTGGCGAGCTATGGAATTCAGTTCGAATATATGTTTTTGTAAATGACTCGCATGTGTATCAATATTTCTTTTCTTGGAATTCTTGGAAACTGTATTTAAAATAATAATGCTAAGTTTGACTTGAAAAAAGAATTTCAAAAAAATTGGCCATCCAAGGTCTACCATATGGTTAAAACTCTGGATCACGTTCCCTCACCTTTGAGTAAAGCGAGCCAGAGAGAGGTGGGTCCGGCACAAACGATGATAATTAGTGCTAGAACCCTTGTAGTTCCTAAAAGTTTCTCGCGGGCAAATGGCACTCGAGCCGTGGCGCTGCCTATGAAGGCATGCTCGCAAGCTAATAATTCTGCGCGTATTGCCCTTAGCTTCACCAATGTCATCGAACCATTCAATTCTACTCTTTCCCCTTCAAACTATTCTGCTCACAAAATAAAGCTGTTCTAATCGACTTGCCAACGTCCATAGTTTGCAGCAATATTATTAAGGCAAGCGTCTCAAGACTTATGTCCTAAGTTTTGTATTCATAGCACACACCGAAATCAACTTCCACGCCATTTCGTTCCCACAGGCTTTTGGCAGTTAAGAAAGTTACCGAACTTCAAATATGTCGGACGTCAATCATAAGCACATCTTGAAGAAATTCTACGATCAGCTCTTAGAAGATGTTGATCCAGACAAGGTTGGAATTCATCTTGCACAAAGTAAAACGATCACCGAAATGGAACTGCGAGCACTGATTATTAATGAAGGAAGGATGCAGACGTTGTTGAGGATGATAGCCAATAAAGGACAAGAGGCGTATGAGGAGTTTTTAAAAGCCTTGGAGAAAGAAAAATGCTTTGTAGCTTATCATCTTCTAAAGGAAGGTAGGTTGGTATTTGTTTGAGAACACTTTTTAAAATCAGGTCACCGTACTTTACATAGCCAGATATTTCCCTTGCAGACAAACATGCAGTAAAAGTCAAATTCTTAAGGGATCCTCTCATATCAAAGGTCCTGTGATTCTCCTCCTGTGATTCTCCTCCCAGCGGCGGCAACTCATCCCGTAGTTGGCAAAGTAAAAATACTAAGGGTTTATTCGATCCATATTTCAAAGTGAATGCATTCTCCTGTAAACTTAAGCCTAGCCTGTAGTGCTGGTGTCTTATTAGTATAATTATAATCACATGATTTCGAGTGTAGTTTGGGATAAATCAGCAGGAGTAAATTTTTCAAAGGCTAATCCAATTGTAGTCTTTGAAAAATTTACTTTTGAAAACTCATTACCCCACCCCCTCCCCTTCACCTCTTTTTTACCGTCAGTCGCTCCTCTGGTACAAATTTATCGCTCCCCTCAGCCTTCCACTGCTGTATAAACCAAAATTGACAGCTATAACTTTTACCCGGGTAATACTGAACCCATGCTAAAACTACGCATACTCTTTAGGCTACTGTCAAGCCGATGCAAATTATACAAAACATTATTAAAATTTAAAAAATTAACTACATGACACAAGGTGTTTCATAATTGTACAAACATCTGTGGGACAAAAAGAGCGATTGAAATTGTTCAAGTCGTTCTGAGGACTTGATATCAGCTATTTCGGGTTTTCAGATTGAGAAAGGCGTGATAGATGTTAATTCATGACGTTATCGTTCTCCATTTTACCAAAACGCCAGATTTAGGATTGTAATATTGCAAGATGAGGGAGCATGTACACCCTCAATAAAAGCTACTTCATTGTTGATCTGTCCAACTTTGAAAAATAAAGCATTTTCATGAGCCTATCTCATTCAGAACACTGAACATTATGCGATCTCTATTGCTATTTTGTAGAAAAGGCAATTAGTGACTACAAACTAAAAGAAACAATCGAGAAACTCAGAAAAATTAAAGAAGAGCTCTTACCTTTAAAGGAAAAGGCTGCAATAGAAAAGACAACATTTAAAAAAGGTAAGAATTACAGTGCTAAACCAGCAAAAAGAATTAATGTATAATAGTTTCTTTGACCGAAAGACAACTGTAGCTGGTTTATCAAAAAGTTAACTTTTTTTCATCAACTGAATTGATAATGTCAATTTTTCAGAGCGAATGGAGAAAGGCTAACGCTCGAAACGTCAGCTTAGAAACTCTTTACAGTGGCCAATTTACAAAATCAACTCAGTTGATAAAACCATGCAAATCATCTTTTGATACTCCCCCAATAACGCAGCACTCTATTTTCTTTAGAAACTTACCCCCTCTATTTATTTGTGGATTATGAAAAAGCTTTTCTCGAGCATGAACCGTTGCTGAAATTCAATCTGAGTGACTTCATTGATCAGAGGCGGATCTAGGGGAGGGGCCCTGGGGGTCTCTTCCATGTGTATATAAATATTAAAGGTAATACCAAAATTCTTAAAGATAACTTTAGCACCTTCCAATATGAAATATCATCCACTAAGCGAGACATTGTTAACTATATAAACCCTTAAGGAAGAATGAAAAATGAATGATCACATGATTCCATTAGATATATCAGGTGAGATGGGATACCCAGTGATATAGGTACCCCTGGGGATGTTCAGTGATAGGGATATCCTTATGGATACTCAGTGATATAGGTACCCCAAGGAATACTCGGTGATATAGCTACCCCTTTGGATACTCAGTGATAGAGGTACCCCTTGGGATACTCAGTGATATAGTTATCCCTATGGATACTCAGTGATATAGGTAGCCCCTTGAATACCTAGGGATATAGATACCCCTATGGATACTCAGTGATATTGGTACCTCTGGGAATACCCAGTGATATAGGTACCCCTAGGGATACTCAGTGATATAGGTACCTCTAAGGATACTCAGTGATATAGGTACCCCTATGGATAATCAGTAATATAGGTACCCCTGGGGATACTCAGTGATATAGGTACCCCTATGAATACTCAGTGATAAAGGTACCCCTTTACATACTTAGTAATATAGGTACACCTTATGGATACTCAGTGATATACATACCCCTAGAATTACCCAGTAATATAGGTACCCCTTTGGATACTGAGTGATATAGGTACCCCTTATGGATACTCAGTGATATAGGTACCCCTTTGGATACTTAGTGATATAGGTACCTTTTATGGATAGTCAGTGAGATGGGTACCCCTATGGATACTCGGTGATATAGGTACCCCTGGAGATACTCAGTGATATATGTACCCCTGGGAATACCCAGTAATATAGGTACCCCTAGGGATACTTGGTGATATAGGTACCCCTATGGATCCTCAGTGATATAGGTACCCCTATGGATACTCAGTGATATAAGTACCCCTGGGGATACTCAGTGATATAGGTATCCCTATGAATACTCAGTGATATAGGTACCCCTTTGGATATTTAGTGATATAGGTACTCCTTATTTAGTGATATAGGTACCCCTAGGAAGACCCAGTGATATTGGTACCCCTTTGGATACTCAGTGATACAAGTACTTCTTTAGCTACTTAGTGATATAGGTATACTTGATGGATACTCAGTGATAGAAGTACCCCTTTGGTTACTTAGTGATATAGGTACCCCTTATGGATTGTCAGTCATATAGGTACTTCAACTGATACCCAGTGATAGAGGTACCCCTCTGGATACTCATTGATATAGGTACCTTTTATGGATAGTCAGTGAGATGGGTACCCCTATGGATAATTAGTGATATAGGTACCTTTTGAGGATACTCAGTGATATAGATACCCCTTTGGACACTTAGTGATGTAGGTAACCGTGGGAATACCCAGTGATATTGACACCCCTTTGGATACTTAGTGATATAGCTACCCCTTATGAATACTCAGTAATGTAGGTACCCCTTTGGATACCTAGTGATATAGGTACCTTTTATGGATACTCAGTGATATGGGTACCACTATGGATACTCAGTAATATAGGTACCCCTGGGGATACTCAGTAATATAGGTACCCTTTTGGATACTTAGTGATATAGGTACCCCTATGGATACTCAGTGATATAGGTACCCCTATGGATACACAGTGATATAGGTACCCTTTTGGATACTCAGTGATATAGGTACCTTTTATGGATACTCAGTGATATAGATATTTCTTTAGATACTGAGTGATATAGGTACCCCTTATGGATACTCAGTGATATAGGTACCCCTATGGATACTAGTGATATAGGTACCCCTTTGGATACTTAGTGATATAGGTACCCCTATAGAAACTAAGTGATATAGATACCCCTTATGGATATTCAGTGATATAAATACCCCTATGGATACTCAGTGATAAAGGTACCCCTTTACATACTTAGTAATATAGGTACACCTTATGGATACTCAGTGATATACATACCCCTAGAATTACCCAGTAATATAGGTACCCCTTTGGATACTGAGTGATATAGGTACCCCTATGGATACTAGTGATATAGGTACCCCTCTAGAGATACTCAGTGATATAGGTACCCTTATAGATACTCAGTGATAAAGGTACTTCTTTATATACTTAGTGATATAGGTACCCCTGGAGATACTCAGTGATGTAGGTACCCCCTGGAGATACTCATTGATATAGATACCCCTATAGAT